CAGCAGCCCCGGGGTCTAACGCAGCCTGCTGCACCCGGGGAAGCGCAGCCCCCGGCCTGGGGAGGGAGCGAGGGGCACAGTGGAGAGCGGAGGCCACCTTGGCAGTAGGGGAGCGGAGGGACTCCTGCTCGGACTTCTCCTCCCCCCTGCAGTGACCCTTGCAGCACAGCCCACCCGCTGTTATATTTAGGCTGCCATTACTTGACGCTCTCCCTGCGCCTGCTGTAAACGTGTCCTGTGTAATGCCCTGCCGAGGCGGAGAGCTCTCAACAGCAGCTTCTGTCTCAGGTAACTTGCCCCCTTCTCCTTGATGCCTTGGTTAAGGTACAAGCCCGGGTGAGGAGATCCTGGGCCAAGGAAGGCGATTCACATCCCACTCAGTAAATGGGATGGAGTTGCCTGGGCAGCTCCAGCAAGACCAGAGCAGGGACACCAGCTGCTACGGGACCAAAGCCGCTGTGGAACGGGGCCGGCCCGGCTTGGAGCACCCGCAGCAGAGGGGTTTGCGCAAGGCGCTTCCTGGCAGAGAAGGGTCCTGCCGTGAGCCTGGATGGATCACAGCAGGATCCTACAGGAAATGCCACAGCCGCGATACTCACAGGCTGCAGAGAACCATTTCATAAAGTCCTGGAGCTTCCTTGGTCCCTTCCTTTTCCGCTTGCCACCGACCACATCATCCAGGCCGTGCGGTACCAGGAACGGCCTCCCTGGAGGTGGGCAGAGATCAGCAGCCCCACCAGGTCCCATGCCGCTGCTCTAAGTGCCACCCAGCCACCCCCGGGTGTCCGGGACGGGGCAGGCTGCCCCTCTCCCCATTGCGGGGCTGGGAAAGGCCTGCCGTGGCTCTGGGGATGCTGAGGACAAGAGGCTGGGAAACCGATCCCTACTGCTCCAGCGCAGCCGGGCCCTGGCCCGTCCAGGGCAAACAGAAACCCGGCTCCAGCCTCAAGTACCTTTCTTAAACGGCTTGTCCTCGGAGTCACCGAAGGGGTCAAGGCTTTGCCACGGATCCAGTATCTCCTGGAGGAGAAGCGAGCAGAAGATGCAGCTGGCAAAGTTCTGGCCCACTCTGCTCCCGGCTGAGGTCCCTGTGGCACCATGTGCCGGGTGCACGGGAGCCGCCTGGCCCAGCAGGTCACCCCACCATTGGCACCAGTGCAGCACAGAGCACGGCAGGGAGGGCAGAGATGTCCCAGGGCTTCCCACAGTGTCCTACGTGGACTCAGAGAGGCTTCCCGGCTCTGGACACCTTACCTTGATGTGGGCTTCGGGGTCCTTGGCAGGCGCTCGCTCCCG